CACCCACCCACCCACAATCAGCCTCCAAAGTCGTGGGGACCAGGCTTTGGTCCCCACACGGAGCATCCAGTCCCCACAAGGCTGCATTTTCCTGAAAAATCGTCCCCACCAAGTAGCAAAAGCAATGGCGCACACACAATCTGGTACAGCTATCTTTATGGAGACCTGGATTGACTTCCATAATTTTCTACAGCCTAACCCTGACYACCAACCCTAACCTCACAGRTTGGGGTTRGGGTTAATCCTGGTACTTGAGGACCACTATCCCTGACCCTRGGGTTAGCGTCAGGGTTGCCTGACCCTAAAACTAACCAAAACTCAATTCACACCTTAGTCCTAAACTTAACCCCAGACCCACCAACGGCGTTTCCTCTTAAGGGGACTGGACTCAGGTCCCCATCAGTACAAGTTAGGTCCCCATAAGTAACATTAGGTCCCCACAAGTAGGTGTGTATGCCAAAAAAACTGTCCCACAACCAGTCCCCCCCACACACACACACACACACACGTGTACAGTGTCACCGAGACCACAAACACTAACCAATCTGCAACATTTATTAATGAAATCAATCTTATGTCGCTGCACGGCAGAGGCTTCCCTACATCTGTAAACAGTATCAACCCATTCCACACATGGTTCCTCAGCTCGCTCATATCTGTACAYGTGACTGCTTCCCATGATGTAAACAACATATGCAGAGGTCAGGAAGAAAACCAGCAGAGAAAAAAGAAAATGGCGTCAAGCCACAAACTAATTCCGTTTCCTAAAATATCTCCATCTCCCCAGCTAAAGTCTGTATGTCTCTCTGAAAGAGCCGACCAATGAACAGAGTCTCCTCTCTGTCCTGATGCTTATATAACTGTGGCTGGAGTGGAGGTGGAGCTGTTTTTGGGAACCTCAGCTCAGAAACAAGACAACAAGAGTTACTTCYTCAGAGGTTCCTCTGCTCTTCTCACACAGCGAGATGATTCAGACCTAAAGTAAATAAAAAATGTTGTGTAAAAACATCTGTAAAAGAAGAGTTTAAATAATGTTACGTTTCGTTTTTGAGCACAGAAATAGATCAAATAAAAAAAATTGAGTGTGAAATTATATTAAAGTTGTGTGGTGACATCACACTGCTCCAAACTGTTCACTAAACCTTGTAAAAACAAAAAAATCAATCATGTTTTGTTTACTTCARGGTTGGACATGAACTAAGAATGGCTCCTGAAGTGCTTCATCAAAAACTTTTGTGAAATGTGAAAATAGAAGATTCCAGACCTTGTTTGAGGTGAAAAAAGAAGAAAAAAGTGTGATCAAAAGGCCAACATTAAGCTCTGACATTACCCATTAAAAAATTGTTTGAACAATAGAGGAGAAAAAAGGTTCAARTGTAAAATATAAATAAGCTGGATAAACATCTCAATGATAAATTCAAAGCAAGATAAAGTGAAAAACAGAAATAAATAAATTAAAATGAACTAAACAAATAAAACAACTTAAAATTTGAAATTTATCAAATTTAGCTAAATATTCTAAAAATTTGTTCCACATTTTTTGTGTAGGTTATACTTTTATTTCATGTATCACCTTAATTTTTATCTAAATTCTGCATCTAAACTAATTTTTTTTATATAAACTGTTATAAAACCTCTGATTCAGWGAGTCTGAAGGGAAAATCTTTGAACAGAATCAGCAGCTGTTTCCACAGATCTCCTGCTGAGAGACATTAAAGCAWCCTGTTGGAGCTGGAAGATTAGCATGATTTCAGCACTCTACGTTAGAAATACTAAAACATTTCAGCTAAAAAAAACTGGTCCATTTCAAACAGATCTTTAGCTGTTGCCTAGCTGCGACCCGAGGCATTTCCACCTTTGCATCTGTTTAGCATTTATTTTAAAGCAAAAATCCGGTGGACGCTGAAGCTAATGCTGTTTGAGAATCAAAGTGGGGCTGGAGAGTTCAATTTGGAGCACGGAAAGTAACACTGACAAAGACACATACAACCTAAAACACACAAACACGGTGCCCACTGCACACAGATCAGATATAAGCCAAGTAATCAGCAGACAGCAGCGTTTGGATCATTGCAAAGCTGTGCATTAGGATTTACAGCGTCTCATTGTTCTTTTAAATCTAACAGGAAAATACAACAAATTGAACATGAACTAGAAGATAGAGAAAATCAGCATCAACATTCTGYCTGCATCAGMAACATGACTTTTTWAAAAAAAAATCCTGATGCAACACATGATGTGCCTCAGTCAGTCCTCACAGAAGCATTTAGAGCAGAAACAGATATTCGGTGGTGCTGAGGGCGCACTGCAGCCAAACAAGCCAGCTCCCAGCTCAATTCAGACAGGAAATTAACAGTCATAATAAATAATACAGGATATAAAAAGCACAAGATTATTTACAGCGGCGCGCTGTGAGAAGACACGAATCAGGAACAAGGTTAATAAACACATTAACACCAGGGAGCTGTCCAGTTCTCAGTTMCTGTGCTGGAGCCACTGAGGGGAAGTGGAAACCTTCTTCAGCTCAGTGCTTTTGTTTGGAGGCAAACTTTCCACAAAATAAAACTGTAATATTAAAGCAAAAACTGCAGATCTACACAAAAATGCCATGCTTTTATTTTGAAGGAATAAAWTGAACTAAATTTGGGCCATGTTAACATGCAAAATCAACTTTATTTTTAGCTTTATATCATCCTGTGGTAGACATGTGGAGATACCTAAAYGCTCGCTGATACAAAGCTCCGCCTACATTTACACTCAGCTCCTCCCTGGAGCTCAGTCTGCAGTCAAGCGTCCGCCCCACAGAACAGCAAAGCATAGTTGTGAGACGTGCTGAAGTGGGAGTGTCTGAAACGGTAGGAGGTTCTTAAAAAGACAAAGGCCAATTTCAATGCATTTAGATGCAAAGTCAAGTTTATTTTTGATACATACAGCATTTTCAGAATAACTGAAGATGACATATTTCCATGATTGTGGTCTAGAATTGGAAACACAGACACAACCAACTTAAATATTTATTTAAAAATATAACAGACAGTGAAGATTTCACTGTTTCAAATCTTTATTTTCACACAAATGGTCCACTTTGATCCGTAAGGACATTAATATTTGTCATGCATTCAGAGATTTGCAGAACCAGATTTGTTTGCTCCGTGTCAACATCAAACGGCCAATATAATCACAGCCATGATAAGTCACAAATAAATCAGCACACTTATGTAAACACCATTAGTTGGAGTATTTTTTTTTTTTTTTGAGAATCACAGAGTGTATACTAAAACCTCTCATTCGGTGAAACTCACTGTTTGTCAGGATTCAAGTGAAATCCAGAGGGCTGTTTATGAGATCCCAGCTACGTGCCATCTGCACTTCTTTTCCTCAAACAGCTTGCTCTGCAGGAAAAGCTCCTTTCAAACCACGACTGTCAGATTTATTTGGGCCACGTGGCCGTCGCAGTCAGTGGGTCCATGCGGTTGAACTTTGTGCTCCGCTTTGAGTTGATCAACTGGACGAGGAGCGGGAGCACCAGCTGGCACTCAAAATACACCCACCCACACTGGAAATACAAATAACAGCGTTTTAAAWCCAAACCGCCTGACGTGTCGGTCTTTGAAAGAAACACTGATTCTCTCAGGTACATGAGCTTTTATTCTGGGTTTGGATTTTTATTTTAGATTTTTTTTACTTCTACAGGGTGAAAATCTGTTTTGAGTCAACTATTTGTGGATCCAGCCTCCTCTTCCTACTTCTCCCTCTGATAACTGCCTCCTCTGCCTGTTTCCCCAGCTGGACTGAGTAATCAGGCCTTCCCATCCTGCAGGAACTCGACACCACTTCAATATAAACGCAGATCTCTGATAATAATGCAATTTATAAAACTCTGAGCTTTGTGATAAGATGAAGCAAACTTTACTAACTAAAGAGCATATTTCCCCGTCCAGTTTCTGTTTGGTTA